ATGTCCAATGAGGCAAACTTGATTCCAATTGAGACTTTTGCTGGAAAAATAAATGAAGATCCAGTAGAATGGATCGCCGCATTTGAACGAGCGGCTGAGACCAATAAATGGAAGGAATCTGCCAGAAAAATTCAAATCGCTGGAGGATATTTAAGAGGAATCGCTGCACATTGGTATAAGGAACATAAAGATGCTGATACAATTAGACATTGGGATCATAATACCCATCAAGATACTTCCTTTGTACCATTGTTCACTGCCCGCTTCTCCACTCTTGAAAGAAAAAACAAATGGCACTACGAATTACATAATTTGAAACAAGGCTATGACGAACGAGTAGCTGAATATGCTACTAGATTTAAAAAGTTATTATTTAAAGTAGATTCAACTAAGGTTCTACCAGATGACTATAAGGTCCGAATGTTTATTGGAGGACTTAATGAAGATATTGCTGTCCTGGTTGGTGCTGGGAAACATGCTAATCTAAATGAAGCCATTGAATTAGCCGAACAAATTGAAGCCGGAAGGTATTACAAACAAAGTCGAAATCAACGACATGATCCTGAGGGACGAAATGTTGAAAGTGAAATTGATAAACTTGCCCAACAATTTCAACAAATGAATCTTAATTATGCCGCCCTCACCGCTGCTTTGGCTAACCAAACTGATAAATTACCAGTTATCAAACCTCGGCCTAATTTTAATGCAAATATACCAAGGCCAACTAATTCTAACTCGAGGAACTGTTATAACTGTGGAGAACCAGGACATTTCGCTCGTGAATGTCTATCTGAAAGAAACCCACCTCGTCAAAATTCTTCTCATTATCAAAACCAAAATCGACGAAAAGTTAACTATGCAAATGTTGATGGAAGTGAAGGAGATGAAGAAGTTGAAGTCTATGAAGCAATTAGAAATAAACCATCCAACTCTCGACAACAAGGACCTATTACCCGCTCCATGAAAAAGAAATCACCTGGGAATACTGAACCTAAAATCTTAGTTGACTTTGAAACTAATCCCTACGAATCAAATGACGAAGTAATGGAGGAAGTTCGACCAAAAACTACACCAGTAAACAAGCCCGTAAAGAAAACCCGAGCTAAACGACAGCCTTCAATTATCGATGAAATGCCCCCGTATGATATCGCTCAAGATATTCTTAATCTGCAGTCAACTGCTAAATTAGGGCAAATGTTAAAGTACCCTGATCAAAAGAGAAACTTAACAAAGATCTTAAAAAGACCTGCTCGCCAAGAGGAAGCTAAACATGTGGAAACCAGTAGCGAAAAAAGAACCACCGCCGCTAAATGTTATGTCCGCATTAAAGGAAATCCAGTAAATGCTGTATTGGATTCTGGAGCCGCTGTGAGCATTATCACAAAAAGTTTAAAAAATAAATTAGGCCTTACCATTAACCGATCTTCGAACGTAATAGTTATTACTGCAAATGGAACTAGGCAACGTGCATTGGGTCAAATTGACAGTGTCAATATTGCTGTACAAAACTTACTAGTGCCCATGAAGTTATTAGTAATCGATTCTTCTGATGACAATCTGTTATTGGGAACGGATTGGTTTGAAAAGACTCGTGCACAGTGGAATTTTGGTAACCGAACTTTGAGGTTAACATATGGAGACAACGAAACTATTGTTAAAACCACCCATATCCACAACTCTCCTGTTTTTGTTGAATCCGATGAGGAACAGGATGAGGAGGAAATTCAGGATGAATTAGAAAAGGAACTTGAATATGAATATGAATACGAGGATGATCTTGATGAAGTTGAAACCTACTTCTCTGAAACCTCTGACTATTGGGATGAAGACCAATTATATGATAATCCTTGGCAAAATGAAAAATCTAACATCTCCGATGAATATAGAGAAGTTAAAACGTGTGACACTGATGAAAATCCCGCCCTGTATCTAACTGAAACTGTTGAACCCGAAACACCTGAAAAGACTACTTATCAAACTGGTGTTTTAAATGAAAACCAGGAACCAGTCGCTGATAAATTATTCACTGAATTCGTCGATGTGTTTGCCAAAAACATTTCTGAGGAAGGGCAAACTATCGAATTAACCCAAACTCATATCGTCGAACATGAAATAAAAACAAAGGATGCTATGCCTATAAAACAACGAGCCTATCGCATCGCTCATAGCGATCATGACTTTATTAAAAATGAAATCCAGGCTATGCAGGAAAAAGGAATAATTCGAGAATCTTCAAGCCCATGGGCCTCACCAATTGTACTTGTGCCCAAGAAAAATGGTAAAAGACGAATGTGTATTGACTACCGAAAAGTTAATAAAGTGACGGAAAAGGATGTCTACCCTCTTCCAATTATTGATGATATTTTGGAATCTTTTGAAGGAGCCCAATGGTTCTCTAGTCTTGATCTCGCTTCCGGTTACTGGCAAATTGCTGTAAAAGAGGAGGACAGAAAAAAGACTGCTTTTATCACTAA